GGAGACTGAGCCCAGACCTCTGAGCATCTGGGCAGAAGCTGACTGATTTTTGAATCAACATCCGGGATCTGCCCTTCCCATTGGCTCGTTCTTCCTGCAGCTCAGGTGGAGAGATTTCTGCCTGCAGACCGCACTAGGGCACTCAGGTGCTCCCCTTCAGAATTCCTAACCGCATGTATACACCACAGGGCTGCGGGAGTCTTCCATTCTCACCAAACGTTTAGCAGAGGAAATGCAACTTTGAATTAGCTAGTGTTTTCAAAACATTAAGGAATGTGAATACAGCTGGGGCGGGGGTGGGAGGACAGCTAGAGGTGAACCGAGAATTTCTGTTCCCAGATTCTCAGAACGCCAAGAGTTAAGGATGGGTCCGGAGGAACAGGTGCTGTCCAATTTGCTGGCGTGCGGGTAGGGGGGCGCGGCTCCAGGTCCCCAGAGCTTTGCAGCCACAGCTGCAGGAGATTGACGCGCTGTGGACAAGCAGCACGCCAGCATCACCCCTGTCACCAGCAGCAAAGGAGAAGCCCCGCGGCTCCTGGAATGACATTGGAAGGTCAGCCAATCGGGCAAGGAGCTGCCCCCTCCACGATGAGCAAGCCACCCCTGGGTTCCCTCTCCAGCACGCAAGGGGAGACCTTGTGGCCTCTGTGGACCATCGACTCCTGACACCTCCCTTCCTTCTCTGCATCTTCGGAGACTGGAGACATTGCTGCAAGCCGTGTCCTTCTTTGCACAAATAAAAACAAAGGCTGCAGACCATTCCTGACACATCAAACCCTGAACATGATCGCTGGGTGTAAACCCGACCTCCTGAGCCATGGATTCTGGGCGCAATGAACTTGAGGGACATTGGGGAGGCGGCTTCTTAGGAAAGCCCTAGACGAGTGAGTAGAGCATCCTCGGAGGCGGAGGTTTGCCTGCTGTCGAGAGCTTACTGCAGGAGTCTGGCGTGGTTTGCCGCCCACTAGTGTCCTATGGCGGGGACACAATTGACATGCAGGTAGCAGCCGATCAGCCTCTCCCAAGCTGACAGTGCCTGCCCCCTAGGCCCAGAATGCATCTGAATTCATGGTCAAGAAAATGCCCTCTGTATGCAAGGCAACCCCAGGATACCTGCCTAGCTTAGGTGAACCTCACTAAAAAGCCGAGAGAATGGGGGTACTCATTCTAAAAACATCCCCAATGTCTTAGCTATTGCCATCTTATCTACACTTAACCACATTCATAATCAAGGTTTTGTAAATGTGGGGAATGGGGGAAAGCTGTTGTTTTATTTAAAAACAAATAAAATAATTCATTCCCATTTCCCACAGCGCTCATAGATCTTAAGATAGCCCCTCCCCCTTTACGTCAAGTTTCTTTGGCATTGAGCTGACTCCTGTTCAGCCTTGGTCACCTTTCTTGTCTACTCCAAACACATCCATGAAAAAATGATTCAGGCCTCAGGGATTTAAATGTGGAGATTTTTTATTTTGGTCAAAATTACATCTCTCAGCAGCATGATATATGATTCAGGGTATGCCCTGTGATTTGCTGGTTCTCCCAGGCAGCAGGGAACCCTTGGTGACACCCAAGTGGCAAGGAGGATAGTCGTCAAGGAGAGAAGGCAAATTGGCTGGCATTTATTAAAGGTCTGCCTGGCATTTTGTTTGCCTACAGAGGGCATGTTGTAGGGGCATGCAGCTTTTGTGCAAAGGCCTAGCAATTTTAGATGAACTCTGGAATTATCAGAAATAATCTCACTCTGCTCTATAAATATGGGGGAGAAAAATATTTTTTGCTTATACATGTCTGTGGAAACTAAAATCTAAAATATCATCTTGGAAGCCTTCAAGATACAGCAGTACTTTCTAAGGCCTACTTCTATGGTCGCTGTCAGGTCTGTAATGCCCTGTCATGTGATCTGCGGAGCCTCAGAGACGCTGCACACCCGACTTGCCCTTGAGCCTCTCCACACCATCACTCCACAGCTAACTAGGCTCAGGGCGCCTGCAAGCACAATGCAGTAAAGCTCAAAATCTCACGGCCAGGGAAAGTCAATGTCAAGGGTGTGTGTGTGTGTGTGTGTGTGTGTGTGTGTGTAAAACCAGACGCCAGCACGCAGCAATAACACGGTCTGTATAAACCTGCGTGCTGCCCCTACCTCTGCTCTTGTTGGGACTCGCTGGCGTTAAAATCAAGAGACCATGTTCAGAGGAATGATACAGCCACACGTTCATGCTGAGCATTAGTGCAGCAGCGTGTGTCTGTGCGTGCACACATGTGCCCCTAAAGCTGTCCTGTGAGTATTTCCAGGGTGGTAGAGAGCACCCCGACTACATCACAGGCTCCCTGTATATTCTCAGGTGAGGTCACTCACAAGATTTTAACCCATGCAGGCACTGGTCTCTTGATGCTGGTCTTTGCCCCAAATATTCTCAGTAGCCCGTCCAGCGGCAACACTTTAATTAAGAAATGAACGTGCCCCCCCATACAAGCTTTCTACTGTTCGGATGAAGACAGGATATGTGGAACACGGACTAAGCATACCTGCTCCTGCTTCTTACCCCCTCCTCCAAATGTTCATTTGCATAATCTTTTACAAATGAGAAAGACAAATGACTACAATGGGCATTTTAGTGTGTGAGGCCTAGCAATATAGCAATATTCAGTTTGGGTCTTATCACACCTTTGGGTATTTTTCAAAATGAAGACAGGCCAAAATATTGCAGTTGCTGGAGAAAAAAAAAAACTCCATTCAGATAGCATTTAGTTTCATATTTTTGAAATGTTGTCTTACCAGAGGCAGCCTTGTAAACCGGGCTTTTATTTTGACATAAGTATATATTTTATGATATTTTGCATAGTATATCTTGAACACCATCCCTGGAAATCCCCTCGCAATGTAAAAGCCCAAACCTCCAGAGTCAGGCAGGCCTTTCCTTCAAGCTTCCTCATATAAAGGAAGGGCCATTTTTACATGAGGCGGCTCCCTGGCCTTCAGCTGATGGGGTCAGAGCATCCTGCCTGTGCATATTACTGCAACAATAATTGATTCTCACAACAGATGCTAAAAAAACCTGCAAATAATTCTTGCACGACTCTACCCAGGTGCACAGGAGCCATCTCTGCATATATTTTCCATATGGTAGATTTCACTCAATTTGCACACTGCATAGACTCCTTTATATAGTACTTTTTAGTTATGAAATGTTGGTTTTAAAAATCATAGACATTTATAGCATCCATGTACCAGAGACTCTCATGATTTCTTCTTTACCATGCTCACCATATATAACTCACACTGAAAAACAGATACTGGATGGCTGACCACTGGGACAGCCTGGCTCACCATCCTGAATCACCTATTTCTCCCCAGAGTGGAAATCTCCCTTCATCCAATAGCCCAGGCCTTTGCAAGGAGTCCGGATATGTCACACTGACAGGGAGGCAGGCCATCAAGGTATGGTGGCTCTGGAACACATTTGTGAGCATCTGAGCCTTTCCTGTGCTTTCCCACTAAAGCAGCAAGGGCAGCTCCTCAGATTTAACTGAATGCTCAGAAGCACATCTATCCCCCAAGGTAGATTCCCGGGAGGAGGCAGGGCAGGTAAAGGGCCCTCTGGGAAAGGGGGGTATCTTGTCAGAACTTGCTCTGATTTTTCTGCCTGGGAGGAAACCTCCAGATGAAGATCCTGCCACTTTGAATATATTAAAGAGCAAAGTGTCGTTTTCATGTGAATTTGGGGGTACCTTCTTCATTCACCTCCATCTTTTCTCAGTCATCTTTATTTTTTTTTTTCAAGCCTGGGAAGCATCACATCCTCCCTTCGGCCAGGGGTTGGCTATTCTCTAAGTACCACTGTGAGAGAAAATGCAGCCAGTGCTTGCAGCTGCCCTAGGTATCTCCCAGAAAAATCTTACAGCCTCCCCTTGGGTTCTCCTTCTCCTGTTTTCTTGTAAGGACCAGATATATTCATTCTCATTCTCTCGTGTTCATATGTTCTCTCCCCTCCTCTTCTGGATATAATGGTTTAATTTTAACTGTCAGCAGGTTATAGGTTTTATGCAGATGTTGTTCCAAAAATTTGAAATGGGGATTAAAGCCCTGGATGCTTCCAGGGGATACCAAATGATGGTGACAATTCTCTCTCTCTCTCTCTCTCTCTCTCTCTCTCTCCAACATGAGAGAAAGCCATTCATACATGTAAGTTCATATTTACGCTGCATGTGACAGGCAGCCCCAAGGTGCACACACATACACTCACTAATTGGGTCTGACTCCATCAAGAACGATAGCTTTCTAAATACCAGGAAGAAAGCATCTCAATATGTAATACTCAGCTGAACATGAGGGCGAGAAACCACGTACAACGTTCACCAATTTCACTTTTACAATATACAGGTGATTTTCTAAAAATTTGTCAACATTACAGATGATGTAATGCTTAGCAGTGCATATTTTTACATACACTACTGCGAGGAACATGTAGAGTCCAGGGGACTAGGGGGATGCAAAGAGACGCATCTTTCCCACAGCCTTCAAGGATGAACTGTAGCAGAATTAAAGGCTTTAAGGCTCAAGAGCGCAGAACCTGAAGGCTACTGTCTTAATTGACCCCTGCACCTGCCTGCGCTCCTAACGCCATGTCGCTTCTCTGGCTGTGTTATTCAAAGTGGCGATCATCTCCTCTCTTCTCCCCAAACCTGGCTGACTCTGATGAGGTAGCTGTCTATCTCTGGAGTTGGGCTCTGAGCTGGCACTTGGCTAGCTAGCTAGGTAGGCTGCTTCCAGCGATTGCAGACCGATGCCTCCCCGGCCTCGTCTCAGTACTGACTAACCTCTCCAAAGCAATGCAAATATATTTTTAAAAATAAATAAATAAACGCATGCATGAACATTCCAACCCGGATAGGGAAGGAAAGGAAGGAAGACTTCACCCATGCATCCAGCCCCCCACACCGCACCCACCCCCCGGGCCCCTTCCCAGACAGGAATCAGCGCAGATCGCAAGGCTCACCATTCGCGAAGCTCTGGAACAAGGAGAGAGCCAGTATCCACATGCCCCTGCTGCTGCCCGGCCTCCCGCGAGCCAGCGAGCCAGCGAGCGAGCCACGCGCCGGCCTCGCCCCCCGCGCTGCGCTGCGCTCCGCCGCGCCCGGCCCGGCTCCGCTCGCCGCCCGCCACCTGCCCAGGGGCCGCCCAGCCGCCCAGCCGCGCTCCCCGTACGCGGCGCCCCCGCACACCTGCTCCCGGGCGCCGCGCCCCGCGCCGCGGACACAGCCCAGGTGCGCCGTGCGCTCGGCTCGGCTCAGCGGGCCGCGGGCAGCCAGGCGCGGGCGCACAGCCGCAGCCGCGGGCGCGAGCTCATGCCGGGCGCCCCCCGATGCGCAGCGCGGCCAGGCGGCGGCCTCCGGGGCGCCGGCCTCACCCTCCGCAGCCAGGCAGCAGGCGCGCGGCCAGGCTCATCCTGCTGCGGCGGCCTCGGGCGCCGGGTCCCCTGTGCTGCCCTTCCCTGCCTGAGCCCGGCGGGCCGCGCGCGGAGGCGAGCGGGGACCCCTCCCCTGCTCTGGCCGTTGGGGCGCTCTGCAGTCTTAAAGCAGCAGCAGAGGAGTGCGGCGGATCACGCAGTCAGCGGGACCCAGGGCTCAGAGGCTCAGAGACTCGTCCCCACACAGCCCATCTTGTGTAGCTCCTTCTTGCAGGTTGCTAATGAGATGCGGCCGGGGGCTGACCACTCCGGAAGGGTGCCAGCTAGGCAGAGGTGACCGCGAGGCCTTAGCAGTTTTGATGCTATGTGCAGCAGGATTCGGAGTCCGTATTGACTCTCTGAAAAGTCTAGTCCATCTACCTAAAGGGAAATGCTGCCTCTGAGTCCTCGCAGCTCCTGGGAAGAGCTCTCTGACTTCACTGACTGATTTTTAATTATCTTGAATACATACTAGGATGCAAACAGGAGCGATTCTAATTTTGATCTCTGAGTGGTGCATAAAACTGATTAAAATAGCTGATACTGTGTGTGAGCCCCAACATGCAACCCCTTTCTTGGCACTATGCAGACAACAGACTGTGACCAAAAGGGTCTGCAGAGGGATTCTGAAGTTATATATATATATTGTGAAGTCAATAAAGGCCCTTGAAAGGGTACGTGTCCATATCCAGCACTTTTCAAAATAATGACCTACAGGGTCCGAATGAGCCCCAATTTAAAGTCTAAGATTGAATACACACAGGCAGGGGGATGGACTGGGAAAGCGTTGAGGGAAGGCAGAAAGGGACCATTTCGTGAAATGGAGATGGTTTCCCAGTCATCAGGCATCTTCTGCCTGGACTGCATGTGCCCTTCCAGATGAGGCACCCCTAAGATTGCTCACAGAACAACCCAGCAAAAGCAAATGTCAAGGCAAAAATAAAATGGTGCTTTACCGGGGCTGGGCACAAGATGGCCAGGCCCTGTGTGCTAGGAAGGGTCAGCTGAGCCCTGCCGCTGCACTGGCTGCCATTGCTCTGCAGCTGTAGGTGATCACGTGCTGCCGCCCACTCAGACTGCGCCTCCAGCCCTGCCAGCCACACATGAAACCCCAGTGTCCTCTGGCTTTGCATGCAGAGGGTGTTCACTCCCTGCTCCTTGAAGCTGTGTGTGGAGGCAGGTAGTGGGCCTGATTCCCATCCCTGCATCCCAGGTCCTTTAGCCCAGATTTATTCACGTGTTCCAGCCATCTTAAGGCTCAGCAAGGCCTTGATAGGCAGCCAAGCCATCAAGACAAAGCCAGGGCACACACGTCAGGCTCAAACCACTGCCTCCACTTACCAGATCTAGGCATACATGCATGCCTCATGAACCTCCCTGCCCTGGCACGCAGAACAGAACCATCAGCAATTCTAACTATAAAGGTTTTGGTGTTTGGAAGCCTAGCCTTGTGTCGGGTCACCATGGCCAGTTGTGGCTAAGATTCTGAGTTGGAGCAGGACTGGCTACATAAATTTGGGGATCTAGTATGAAGTGAAAACACAAACGGGAGGAAATGCACCACTTACAGCCCCTAGTGGGAATTTCGTCCTTTCCTCTGCAGCTTCTGCCCCTGCCGTGATGGTTATCATTTGCTGCTTACTATTTCACTGTTAGGGATAGTTGGGAAGGGCCCAGCTACACACAGATGCAACCCGGGCCGTACAAGTGGCCCACATCTGCCTCCTTGTTTTCCTGCCTTCCACCTGGCCCACGAGCTGTAATGCCCAAACTATTGTATGTCCACACTGGGAAACTGTCCTCAGTGCCTGGCTCAGAGGTGAGCCAGAGACTCAAATGGCTTCTGGAACATGCGTGACAATGACAGTCTGGGGGCCTCCTGGTACGCAGCCAACCTAAATTAGCCAGATCTCCATCAGGGACAGTGAAAATGGCAGAAAACAGACCTTCCCACCAAAAAGAACATAACTTGCAGATGGGAACAGCCCCACAGTGGCAGAGCCTTGTCAGGACCTGGAGACTATGTAGAGAAGGATGTTGTCTTCATTGCTTTTGTTCTTGCTATGGTAATAAAAAAAAATCTGATAAAGCAACTTAAGGAAGGAAAGGTTTATCCACTCACAGGTCAGAGACACAGCCCACCATTGTAGAGAAGTCACAGTGGCAAGAGCTCGGGGTAGCCGATGACATTGTGTTTACATTCAAGTAGAAAGTGCCTAGCACTGTACTCACTCAGTTCCTCTTCTTTAGACAGTCAGGGATCCCTAGCCTAGGAAATGGTGCTGCCCACAGTACTCATTCTTCTCACCTCAATTAACCCAATTAAAATTATCTCCTACAGCACATCCAAAAGTCCATGAAGTCAATGAAGAACACTGTGTTATGAGCAAGACCCTCAAGACTCTCAGAGTGTGGAGGGTGATGTAGATATTACACAGGGCATTGAGTCCAACCCTAAGTAGTTGGCTTCCAAATGCATCTTGACTGGCTTGGATTAAAGACTTGTGTACAAAACTCTCAGATGTAGTCATAGCAGACGCTTTGATACAGAAATGAATGCGGTCCACCTAACTGTGAGCCTCGTGAGATCAGCGACTCATTCTTGGTCAACAATAAATCCCTAAGGCCTTGCTCACACAGACCCTGTGATGGTTAATTTGTTTGTCAGGTTGATTGGCTAAAGAAATGCATAAAAGTTTAAGTAAGGCACCACTGGGACTGATTGCGAGCCTTTCCAGATCTCATTTGACGATGTGAATCCTGATCTTAATCAATGGATCAACCTTTAATGGCCTTCAGAAATGGTGAAGCGAAGTAGGTGTGGCCTGGGGGAAGTCATGCCTCGGAGGCTAGGTTTTTCTCATGTGCCTTCTTCCTACTTTGTGCCCGTGTTTGAACAATGTCCTCTGTCACATACTCCTGATACTGCAATGTTCTGCCCAAGCATGTGGTGCCAAGCAACACTGAGCTGAGCTCACGGTTCACACAGTCAGCACTGTGAACCAAACAAAATACCACCACTACCACCACCACCACCACCACCACCACCACCACCACCACCACCACTACTTAAGTTGCAAGTATCAGCTAATTTGCTCACAAACTCAGGAATGTAGTGAGCATTCATGTAGTGGTATAGGAATCTCTAGTGTAAATGGATCAGGGAGCCTACTCTACAGAATATACACATGGTGTGGGAGGTCCTTCAGTCTGTGTGTTGCTTTTATTGGTTAATGAATAAAGAACTGCTTTGAGCCTATGGTGGGGAAGAACAGAACTAGGCCGGGAAAGCTAGGCTGTCTGCTGGGAGAAAGAAGAGCGGAGCAAGGGAGATGCCATGGAACCACTACCAGAGTCAGACACACCGAAACTTTGCCTATAAGCCACTGCCACGTGGCGATACACAGATTAATGAAAATGGATTAAATTAATATGTAAGAGATTGGCCAATAAGAAGCTAAAGCTAATGGGCCAAGTAGTGATTTAATGAATACAGTTTCTGTGAGATTATTTCAGGGCTAAGTGGCCAGGAACCAACAAGCGACTTCCACCAACACACACACAAACACTGGAAATTCAACACTTCGGTTTCCCTTGCCAATAAGTATTTGGAGGACATGGCGTTATCATTGAGACCTCCAGGTCTAGTAAGATTCCACATGCAAAATTGAATCAAGAAAGGGGTCATGTACCCCAAGAATTTGAAAACAGTTAAATCCACCATCGTAAGATAACATATCTCATGAATTTCTTTCTTTTCTAACCCTTAAATGAGACCTGATCAGCCTCCACCTGAAATCATCCCATATGGGCAGACCACCTGCCTGAATCTGACTTGGTCCTTCTACATAGCATCCCAGGATCCAGAAAAATTGATCTAAAAAAGTAACAAACACAATCTTCCATCATTATGGCTCCCCACGTTCATGTGAGGACAAATCACATAATGTCAGAGGCATTGGGTCACAAACATAGCACTCAAAGGCAAAGCACATAGGTATAGGAAATGAATCCTGTTTCCTGAACTTAACTCTACCTGGAAATGACCTTCAGTGATAAAGTTGGTTCAGAGAGAGGGAGGGGTTGATAGAGAATACACAGAGGGCTGACAGGAGAGAAAAAGGCAGAGAAAGAGAGAAAGGCCAGACCTAAAGTCCATGTTCTTATCTTGCCTACAGAACCTGATTGCCATCTTACAAGAGTCATCTTAGCGTAACCAGAGCACCGCAAAGAAGATACCTGAGATAGGAACAGGACACAGTAGAGACATCATTACTTCAATGTGTATGCAACTTTATCACAACTTGAGTTTTAAGGGGAAGCTCTAGATATTTGTAAGACATCTTAAACATCTTTGTTATTACTGTTTTAGAAATAGTCCCCACTGGTTAGCTTTTGCATAACTAGAATGTGCTATGCAGGCTGCTAGAAGAAAAAGTTATCAACAGTCTTGCTCAGCTCTCAACCCTGTGAATTACAATAATGACAGACCTGTCAAGACCTGCCTATGGGTGCAGTAGTGGCATGAATGTTATGGGGGCAACCAACTTCTTTTCCATTGGATTCAAGGTCTGTTCCACAAGTAGAAACACCTGCCTGATGCTACAAACCTGACCAATAACACATGGTTGGGGAGCTCACTGGCACCACAGGTGAAGATACCACTAGTATTCTGCTAAATGGGCACAGTATCAACTGTCCTCTACCATAGATTGATGTTACTCTCATGCCTCATCACAGAAGTGTCCTTGTGTGGTTGGTAGCTAATGCAGAAATCACAACAGATCAAAGTACAAAGAGTGAGTGTCTGTGGCGCACTCAACCACAAATAGGCATTTATATCACTCCTCCCCACAAAGCTCAGAACAGTCACAAGAAGAGGGATGGACCGAGTGTAAGAGCAAGAAGTTTGGGAGAACATGAGGGAAGCAGTGTCTTCTGGTCATGACAGAATGGCAGCCCTCTGCACCTGTGGTTCACTGCACAACA